AGATTCTTTTTGAGCAATCTTTCCAGAATATTTTCAAGCTCTGCTAAAGACTAAGAGCTAGCTGTTCTAAGAAGACCTTTACTCTCTCTAACCCCCGCTGTCTCTCTCTCTCTCCCGCTGTCTCTCTCTCCCTCCCTCCAGCCCCACCACGCTCGCTCCCCAATTGCCTACTGAAAGGTGGTCCTTTAGGAAGGAATCCAGGAGTGTGGTGTGGAATGCATGGCTGTGTCCTCTGGCTCCCACACTAAATAGCTATGTGACCTGGAGACACCTCACACCTGGGCTTCTATTTCTTCATTTATAAAATCAGAGGTGGTAGAAAACTCCAGTGCATTGGGTCAGTGAAACATTTTTTTATCTGCAGGGTGCCATACAAGCAAGGGAAAAGACCATTTAGTCTTTCCCTGGGTAGACACTTCTCATCATCACCAAGTTTCCTAATATCCCCTGCACTGTCCTAAACAGAAAACCTCCCTCCGAGAATGACTGACTCTAGCATAGGAAAAGGTCTTCCTCTTGGATCAGAGAAATATCTGACTTCCCTGTGCTTTATATAGGAACCACTTTAAATTTCTTCTTCTACCATATGCTAATTACAATATAAATTACTTGGCTGAGCTAATTGTTTTGCTTCTTACCTTTCCTATTTTCTCCTCATTTCCTCTAATCCCAGAGACAGAGTCCTAAATATTGACAACACATTACTTCAAAACACCTGGTGTATAACAGCTTGTTATTGTGCAAATAGGGCTATGCAAGGAGTCCACAAACTAAACTCTGCATAATACGAATCTGGTATATAATATGGACCTGACTTATAAATTCAGTTCCTTCAAACTCCCTAAAGGAAACTTGGAGTGCGGATGAAGTGATAAACCCACCTACACCTGCAACACACATGTCTTGGTGTAAGGCCTCTATCCAGCCAGTAAGTAAACCACAGTCCGAGAAGTATAATTAGCCTCTCTTTCCTTCTTCAGCTGCCAGTTCTGCCCTTCAGTTGAACTTTTACTACACTTGGTAAATATTTACACTGAGGTCTGTAGTTGAAACATATCCGACTCTAAATATCAGTACCAAGCTGCTTCTGAAATGTATTTGTGCCCTTATGCAATACCCACAGCTTCCAGAAGTTGCGGGTGCACGGCCAGAATTAGGCAATCCGTCAGTGGCCAGAGGACCTGCAATCTGGAATAATTCTACACCTACACAGATACTAACTGCAGTAGGCTATTTATCCCCTCACAGCTCATGCTTTCTCCAACAAGTTAAGATCTTTCAGATCTTTCCCCATTTTCTTTGGTGAAACATTGGAAGATCCTTTCTTAGTTTTTTTTGTTTGTTTATAAGGATGTTACACAGGAACTGTCATGTCAGTCTAATTAACCTGGCATTGTTTCTTTGTAATTATTTTCTCAACTGTCTTTAACTTCCCCTGGACCTTTAAACTCTCCCCACTTTGCAGTGGATGCTTTCAGTACAGACATCTTTTTAAAGTGTCCCCTCCATCATGAAGAATTTTGTATTTCTGACCATGTCATCCATCCATTTTCCATGGAAAGGGTGGTTATTGTTCCTCCCCTTTGTTAAGTTGAAAAAAAATTAAATCTCCCATTCAGCCATATTTTTCTAGAGTGTTGCTAAAAAGCATAGCATATGAACTATAGCAAAAGCTATATAATCAGTTGAAATGGGAACTGAACAGTCTGAAAATGTCCAGGATGACATTAATAACCAAATATCCTTTAAGTTAATACAGTGATTGCAAAGTGCCTGCATGAAAGATTATCATCATCAAGACTGGGAGATCTTGGCACAATGTTGGGTACATGTTACATTCCGGTTACCTGAAATACTTGTTATTATCTTTCCTGTCTAAAGATCTAAGCAGAGGTTTTATGCAACTTTACTCTGTAATTGGGCTTAAGATAATTTAAAATAAAAGACCAAATAGGCTTCTTTCTTTCCATGTGCCCTTTTTCTGGGCATTGTGAAAGCCTTCCCAAACTCCTATTTCTTATAATGCCAGCCCTGTGACCTACCATCTGGTGTCACATATTTCTTTCTAAGGATGACTTAGAGAGCTTCTATGCAATTAGTCCCTTGAAAATAATACTTTTGAACTTCTCATATGTCTCAATGGCTCTGGGCCTGCTTCCCAGGTGTTTCGTAAAAAATGGTCTAGAGGAATAGATTATATGCCTCTTAAGTTTATTTTTTCTATACCCAAGGAAAACAATATGATACAATAGATGGTATTTTCAGCTGAGCCAGAGGAGTTGGATTCTGTCCTTTGGAATGTTGTTAATTTCCTATGTTAACCTAGACATGTCATCACACCTCTCTGTTTAGATTTGGAACAAAAACAACTCTCCTCACCTGCACATAGATTCAGGAAATGCGCACCTAATATTTGGCGTTCACAGACACTGCATGGTGATACAGGTTAACTTGATCATCATTTACTGCATTTTATCACTAAAGGATGCTACTTTTTGTTTACTGCAAGCCTTCTGTCCTTGTGGTTTTATCTCTTATAAAGATGTGAGCACGCGTATAGGGATCTATCAAGATACCAAATTCGAATGTTGTACATTTACAGGGCTGTCCAACCCATGGGCCACAGGCCACATGCAGATTATCTGAGGACTTTTTGCTTATTTGTGATAGGTTTCATGAAAATTATGCACTGACTTTTTTGTTTGCTCATCAGCTTTCGATAGCATTTGTGTATTTAAAGTGTGTCCCAAGACAACTCTTCTCCCAGCACAGCAGAGAGAAGCTGAAAGGTTGGACAGCCCTGCAAACTACTTTTTTCAATTTTTGAAGTATTATATTTTACAGGGAGCTTTTACTTATGTTTTTCAATTAATTCTGTTTATTCCATTTAAATTAGTTTAATAACAGTGTGGTGTCCACAAAGTTTCATGTAATTAATATATACACAGATACTTAAACCTATTTTGAATCATAATTATATACATGTTCTGGTTAATTTAACATTGCAAATAAATACACATTTAAAATGTTACCTTATGTTAAGACCATTTTTTGTCTTGCTAATAGAATACATAAAATTAGAAGTCTCTTATGATGATTTAAAATACAGGTGTGTGTTTACATATAATGTATATATTATATATAATGTGTGTAAATAGAGTTAAATATACCACATATAATATAAATGTAATATACAATTAAATACTAGGTTTATATTCCCTTTCTGATCCAATAATCAAGGTAAGGGGATTTTATAAACCAATACACTTTTTGAGAAATGACAAATTGATTATTGAGTGTCAATTATTTTCAGTATATGCTACTGGGTATTCTACATGTGTTTTTTACTTAATACTCATAGCAGGTGTTTATAATAAAGTTATTACTATACTAATTGTATAGGTACACATAAATATAGTTTATATTATAGTTATAGGTTTATAATCTAGTTATTACTATACTAATTTTACAGGTACACATTACATGCTTGTCAGTGTCTACAGCAACTGGAACGTGAGATGTGGCCTCCAATGTACATGATCTTTCTGCTCTGGTAGTTGTCATCTGAATGGAAGAACCTAGGACTTACATACAGTTAAAGGTACTTCAGTTTATCACTTATGATAAAACCATTGGTGGTGTAGATTTGTTTACGATGCCTTTTTTAAGAAAAAGCTTTTTTAGCCCATTACAATTTCCTACACAGATACATGTACGTAGATACAACTTTCTCAGGTATTTGGCTGGTTTGGATATTCTCCCAACCTGTACAAACTATGTTATGTGTATATGTTTGTGTGTATGATTGAAAGTATTGCATAGCCCTAAGTAATCTTAGGGATCAACTAGCTAGCCTTCATTCTACATATCAGTTTACATTAAGGAAAATGGCTCACAGCTGATTCAAGTTCTCAGAATGCCCTTATTTCTTAAAATAGTACTAGATTTTGGCCTCAGGATTGTCTCTGATATGTGTGTTAGAAAATAACATAGGCTCAGTGCAGTTTGATGAAAACATTTCAAATTGTGTATAAAACCAGCACATTGTACCCCATGATGGCGTTCATGTACACAGCTATGATTTAATTAAAAAAAAGAAAATAACATAGAAATACAGCATTTTTTGCCTTTAAAAACCTTGATCTTAAGCATTATTTTAAGCACTGATTATTTTATATCATTTTATCAATTTTTCCAGTTTGCTACTATGTCTAAGAAACTACTAATTGGAGTAAATTATTTTTTAAATATATCAGACAAACTTAAAAAAAAAATACTACGTCATTTTCCCTACACATCCCAAAAGCAATTGGAAGACTAACAGAGAATCAGTATACTGGTTATTTTGCTAAAAAAGCTGGACAGTTTATTTAATAAATAGATATATGCTCATACTACTTACATCACGAGGGAGCACAGAAGCTAATTTCCTATAATGCAAACTTATATTTTA